GGCAAGTACTTCGCCGCTGCCGGAAAGGATCAAGTGGTACGGGTTTGGGCAGTGATCTCGACCCATGAAGAGAGACGGCGGCATGAAGACGAAGAAAGTGCCAACGATGCCAATGGGGAGAGGCTTAGTGCGCCTGTGTTTCGGAGCAAACCGGTGCATGAGTTCCGGGGTCACACGGGAGAGGTACTCGACCTTAGTTGGAGCAAGAACAACTTTCTGCTATCGTCATCGATGGACAAGACTATTCGACTATGGCACATCAGCAGAAAGGAGTGTCTCTTCGCCGCGAAAAGCAATGATTTCACCACATCAATTTGCTTCCATCCCACGGACGACCGGTTCTTCTTGGCGGGATCCCTTGATTCAACGCTCCGACTTTGGAGCATTCCAGACAAGGCCGTGGCCTACTCGGCGCACGTGTCAGACTTGATTACGGCAGTGGCATTTTCGCCCGATGGCAAGACGGCCATTGCAGGAGTTTATTCGGGCATGTGTATGTTTTACGATACCGACGGTCTCAAGAACGTGTCCCAACTCCATGTCCGGTCTTCCAGGGGCAAAAACGCCAAAGGCAGCAAGATCACTGGAATAAAGACCATGGTTATCGATGAGGAGGTCAAGGTGCTGATTACTTCCAACGACTCGAGAGTTCGTCTGTACAACCTCCGCGATAAGAGTTTGGACGCCAAGTTCAAGGGTCTGGAGAACACCTGCAGTCAGATTCATGCGGATTTCAGTGACAACGGACAATGGATCGTGTCGGGAAGCGAAGACAAGAAGACGTACATCTGGTCGGTGCGCTCGGCAGACTCGGAGAAGGATAAGCCTTGCGAATACTTTGACGCACACTCTGACCGGGTATCGACGGCCATCTTCGCGCCGACTAAGTCCCGCCAACTTCTCGGCGGCTCGGGAGACCCTCTGTACGATCTGTGCAACCCACCACCCGTGACGCTTATGAGCCTCGAAGAGTCCATCGCCAGCCAGGGAGGCCAATCTGATGACGACACCAAAACACAGGTGAAGAAGCCCGAGGAATCCCCTCAGTACATTGAGAAGTCAAAGCATTTTGACGGACAGATTCTGGTCACGACTGACCAATCTGGCGTCATCAAAGTGTTCCGTCAAGACTGCGCGTTCATCAAGCGCAGACATGAGAGCCGGCTAACGGGGAGTATGGTGGGTCGGAGCGGAAGCGTCGCAACTCGCACCAGCGTTGGCAGCCATAATCGTTCACGCCGGAGCTCCATCACGCGAGCCGCGGCTCCGGGTGCCTCTCAGCTTAGCTCTGATATTATTTCTTGGCGGCAAGGAATTGAGCATGGACGTCCCAGCTCGATGGTTCTCACGCCATCTCAGAGCGAGAGGTCCCTGTCGCCCAACAAAGCGGCCCGAACCCCAATCAACACGAGTGCAGCCAACCTCGCGTCAGAAGCGCGGAAGCAACCGTATGCCGGCTCACCGCAAGCGCGGCCGCAGCTGCCCGCGAGTCCGACGTCAAGCCGGGCATCCCGCGAGAGGGGTCCGTCGATCCCGCCGACGCCGAGCTTCTCGTTCCGGTCGGCGGACGAAGACGATGCTGAAAGCGATGAGCTTCGGCTGGATCCTGCAGGCGCAAGCTATTCGTTCTGGAACCTGAACCGATGGCGTGGCATCTCGTCGCTGCGCTCATCTGTATCGTTCAGCAACGTGAGCGCTGCGCAGTCACAAGGACAAGGCCGGCACAGCATGAGCACGGCGGACACTACACCGACGACGGCCAGCAACGTCACCAAGGCGTCTCGGCGCAAGAGCATCGGCCCGGGCATCTTCGACAAGACAGTCGAGGAGGAACAAAATGGCACAAGTATAGAGAAAGACATTACAGAGAAGGTCGAGGCCGATCCCCAACTGCTGCGACCTGGCGACAGCGGCCCCAACGGCCGTATCAACTCTATAGTTAGCCGCCTTAGCTCGGAGTACACCAGCGACGAAGGCGATCAGATGAATTGCCAAAAGTGCGGCAGTCGAGAGTTCAAGGCCAAGAGGGTCGGCGGGCGACAACGGCTCATTTGCGTTGGGTGCGGCAAGCTCGTCGAGGACGGTAAATGAAAAGAGTAAGTGAGTGTGAAATTTAGATGGCGACGACGACGGATGAATGAGTGTCTACTTGGATTTGATGTTCTGGGCACAACTTGACGAGGCGCATTAGTCATGAACAAGATACCATATACCCCCGTAACGGCTGAAGAGAGAGAAAGGGACGAACAACAGCATACATGCATATATTTGGCATTTTATCTTGTTTTGTTTTTATTCAAGGCGATCTGGGGGGGGGAGATGTAACAAGCAACGATAGGCGCAGGCTCAGGATTGGAGTACATGAAAAGTTTCCTCAAGACGTATGCATTTAATTTACTTTGGTATCTACCGAGACTCCTCCCATGCTGTTTTGCTCTTAAACTTGTGAAATCAATTTGGAGGCCACAATGAGACGTCTCACCTCAGAGACATTTTCCAGTCGGACCTCTTCCCACTTTGCCCGCCGAGGGTGTACCCCCCAGACACCGTGGACCCGTCGTCAGGCTTCTTCTCGGCTTCTTCGGCCTCCTTCCTCTTCCTCTCGGCCTCGGCCTTCTTGACGGCCGCGGCGGTGTCGTCGGCAGCCTTCTTTTTCGCCAACTGGCCCAGTTCCTGGACGGTAGTGGTCAAGCTCCGCGGATCAGCGCCGCGGATGGTGGCGCGCCCGCCGTTGTAAGGCTGACCGTTCTCGAAGAACATGAAGGTGGGCATGGCGGTCACGCCGTAGCGGCGGGCGACGTCGGTCGCAGAGTCGACATTGACTTTGACAAAGACCAAATGGCCCGGTTGGCCGTGGGTGTTGGCGAGGTTCTCGTACATGGGCTTGATTTGATGGCAGGGCCCGCACCAGTCTGCGTAGAAGTCGGCAACGAGGTACGTGTTGGCGGACTTGAGCCGGTCAAAGTCGGCGAGGTTGGAAGCGTGGATGACGACCATTTTGGATGTCGCTGCTGCTGTGTGGCTTTGTGGGTGCGCAGTTCAGTTTGGGGTTTCAATGGTGAGAAGCAAGATCCCGTGGCTCTCTGTGTGGCGTTTATATGTTCACTGGGGTTATGTGAGTTTGATCATGGCCGTCGCGATGTGACTTCAAAAAATAAAAATCCATTGAAAAGTCGCAATTGTCAGCTTCCATTTCCAGCGACTGCAGGTGGGGTCAGCCGCCGAGGAACCTTCCAGGTGCTCTCGCCCAGGGAAGGCGCTATTGGCTCCCTGAAGCTTCCGTCATTGGCCACCCAACATCCGTAATCCACGCGGAACACCTACAGAGGCTCGAGAAACACACAAAAGAGCATTTGTCACTTTCCATCCTTCGCTCTGACAGGCTCAACGAGGGTATTCTCCTGTACCTCATGCGGCCGTCTGCATGTGTTCTCCAAGATCGCAGGCGCAGTTCCACACCCCTCCCTGGTACAGGCCGCCGAACCGGCGCCTTCTGCATGCGACCCAAGTCACTGGATCTCGACGGTCTTGTGCATCGATCTACGCATAGCTGGTCACAATACTAAGGTATTGCCGATCTTGATGGTCAAGCCGGAAGGGCGCCTTTACTCGACTATGCGACAGTACAACCGCCGTCTTGACAGAGGAGGGATACCAGCACCAGAGACCGCCAGGCCATCTCTCGATCTCAACTGCGATCCTCACCATCCACTACGCACCATCCCAGTCGATATCTCATTCCGGCACTGCGATAACGACTTCTCATTCCCCCTCACTTCCCCATCCAACTTGCCTTCATTATGCGCCCATCCACTAACATCCTGTCGACGATGGATCCGTACTTCCGTCATCGGCGCACCACTTCTCCTGGATATGGTCCAAGGTTGACCAAACAGCCGCCCTGGAGGTTCTGTTTTGCAAGCGCAAAGCTGGTGAGGGTGAAGGCCCCAACTGCGGGGGGACACACAAACCTCACAGAGTCCGGGTCTGTGGACGGCCATCGTCAAGCGATGTGGCCACGCCACACAACGTAAACCTCGGCCGACCCATCAGGTTCTATTTCAGTTCTCGGGCCATTTTACCAATAAGTCTTGCAAACAAGAAGTCGGAAGAATGAACCAACAGCCTCTCAGCCTCCTTTGTCCCGGCGTCAGATGACCCCATGGAATGTCTCGCAAAGGTCGTAATCCCCCCCATCCCCAAAGCGCCCGCCCGCCCCCAGCTCCAACCTCATCCATGGCTCTCGCCGCCCCTCCACGCAGGCCTTTCACACCTTCACGACCCTCATCGGCGCCTATATTAGCGCGAGCAAGCCGGCCCTCGAGACCTTCGAGCTGACGCCCATGTATACTTGAACTATCCGCGGCCTGGCCCAGCCTGGTCCCTGTAGACATCTCTCGCCAAGTGGATGTGCCTGGAGATCAGGCTATCTCTAAATGACGGAGGCGCTTCCAAGTGTCAAAGACGTAATCTCATTCGATGACCGCAAGGCTTAGTGCTTCTGGCCTCGCCGGCCCCCACCTCTACAGTCGGTACAAGCTGGCTGGAAGCTTAGGGGTGACATTCAAGTGTCCATGGCAGAGTTTCTCCTGCCTCAAGCGCCGGCGGCGAGCGTCTCGCGATGCCTCTCATGGAGAATGATGGTTGTGAGCCTATGAAACAGAAAACTTGGTCTGGATTCCATACAATACCATGGTCTTAGAGGTCGATAGGAGGTTGGCTGTAACCTCCTTTCCGGAAGAGACTCTGTAGATCAGGAGACTGGCGCTGGCTGTTCAGCAAACGCGAGACGAGCATCGTAGGTAATTCATGTCTTGAAACAGGATTGGGCGACTCAAGTGTCGACATTAGCGACGCTCCGAGGTTGGATATATCCGGGGTGGTCGGCGAGTTCATATAATGTCCCTGGCCGCTGTTCAGCTTGAGTGTGATGACCATCGTGTGTCTCTACAATCAGCTCTTGTCGTATTCAAACTTAACGTCTCTTGAAATATCCAATAATGGCTGCTTATCAATCGTTGAACTTTGGTTTCGAGCTCGAACTCTCGTTCAACAGTAGCAAGAAGCACAAAACGTGGCTTACCATGGCCCAAGACACCAGCGCCCGTCTCACCAAAAAGGGGGTCAACAACCAGGTCAAGGAAAAGGTAGACCCAAACTACCGCAAATGGTCCATTGTTCAGGAGATCACCATCCCTCAACATCCATCCAAGAACAACTGTTTGTAAAGGGTATCCGAGACGATGAGAAAAGACTGACCGTTGATCCAGGGGCACTTGAACTGGTGTCTCCTATATTCAGCCTCGATTCCCTCTGGCTGGCAGACACGGGCAACATTTTTTCCGCCATCCAGAAGCATTCATCGATCCAAAATATTCCGCAGTGCAGCACCCACGTCCACATCAGCCAAGACGGCCAGGACTTCTCGCCGTATCAGCTAGCCGCCCTGTCCAAGGCAATTCTGACCTACGAGGCATGCTTCGACGCCTTGGTGCCCGCTGACAGAGAATCAGCATATTGGTGCCAAAGCAACCGCTGGAATCCAATTATGGCACGCTGTCAGACCATGGAAGATTGTTGGGATATCCTCGACACGGCCTCGCAGCGCGGCACATGCGCCGTCGTCGAGGCGATGTGCATCTTCCCCGCCTCAAGCGCGTACGGCCGGGCCCACGGCAGAAAAAAGGATTTCGTCCACGGAAAGGTCTACAAGTGGAACTTTGCTCGTCTTCTCGGGAACGAAAATGGGCGAACGATCGAGTTCCGCCAGCCTTCTGGAAGCACATGCGCCGAAGACGCCATTGGCTGGGTCCTGTTGACGTTGACCTTTGTCGCGGGGGCCACCGGTGGTGGAAATTGTATTGGAGCTTTGGAAGCCGGCGGCGATGACCGGACTGAATTTTGGCATCTTTTGTGTCATGGGGCGGAGGTTATGGGACTGGACCCTTTCTTGCTTGATGTCCTCAGTGGCTTTATCGCTCGGGCGTCAGCTTGAATCTTTCATCTTCCTGTTCAAGAATCTGGTTCCCAGTCGTCTCCATAATCACAAGTCAATCTTTAGTCCGTGTCGTCCCAATAATCCTTATCATTCGCACTCGCCCAGATGGCAAAGCTCTTTCCATACACTCATCATGAAGATTCATGCGCATCAAATGTGTTTCTGTCTTACAAATTCTGGTCACGTGGCTCAAGTTCAATGGGCATCATGTGCAGTCGGCGTCGTCCGGGCTGACCGATTGAGATCCGGAGCCTGACCTCCGCGAAGCCCACTTAGCCGACGTCCGGACTCACTCCGCATAAATCTTTCCCTCCTGGTTTTGTTCTGGTTCAGGCCTACATCCGGCGTGCGTTGCTACCTTGAAAGGTGCAATTAATATACCTGGTGCGCCGTTGTCCCAACGGACACTAGTATCTGAGTTGGCGAGGGTCGTTTTGCTCATTCTGATTGAACGAACCAAATTGCAGTCAAGGAGAGGAAAGGTAGCTTCCGTTAAATTGTCCAGCCGATTGGGGCTTTTCCGGAAGGGAATGCAACGCAACCGTTTTCTCTTGGCACAGCTTTAGTATTTAAACTCTTAAACTTGGCATTGATGCTTGGTTTGATCGCCAAGGTCGTCAGCTGCTGTAGAAACCCATTCTCAATCTCTGTCAACAAACCATCTTCAAGATGGGCGTGATGAATCTCCTGGCTTCTGGCTTGTTACTGTTGGCTTCGGTTCAAGCCCAGAGCACTGCTCCGGCATGGGGACAATGTCAGTCTGCATTGCCTTTGGTTCCAAAACATCAGCACTAATATGGCGACAGGTGGAGGGCAGAATTGGACCGGCGCAACTTCTTGCGTGAGCGGATACACTTGCTCAGTCTTGAAGTAAAGGCCTCTGTCCACGAGAAGTATTCAATCACTGACCATTAATAGCCCTTACTACAGCCAGTGTATCCCGGGATCAAGCACACCAACAACCACATCGGCCAGAGTCTCAAGCACACCAGCCGTAACTGGCACCAGTACCCGTGCTACGACGACTTTTGTGACAGTGACGACAACAGCAGCTGGCGGCGGCGGTTCCGTCCCCACGACCCTTGTCTCGGGTTGGTATTGGATTCGTGCGGTCGCCTCGCCAAACTACCATAGCTACCTTCAAGCCAAGCCGACGGGGACGCCCAGCAAGGCCTATCTCGATTCGCCCAGCACCGCCGGTCAGTTCAAGATTGAGGATGGTCAACTGGTCCACCTCACTGGATCGTCTTCGCTGTACCTCAACGTCGAGAACCCTGCAGACAAGACCCAGCGGAAGCTCGAGACGTGGTTTGCGACCACCAAGAACACGTACGGCACGTTCGCCTTCCAGGGCGATACACTTACATGGAGCACTCCGGATATTAACCGCCCTAACCTGGCTGCCTGGCTTGTCTGCGAGAACCAGGAAGTGTTTATCAACACGGGTGCTTACTTGTACCAGACGCCGGCAGGGTGTTACGATCAGACTGTGAGTGAAAAAAAGCTCCTACTTGAGCCTTCGTTTACTAAACTGCTCAGATACACTCTTACGGAGGCTCAACCGCAGACCTTTAGGCCCTCTCCATACCAGAAAGACTCGTTCCGAAATCCTCATAATTCCATGAGTTCTCATACCCGTCAAGCTCCTCGCACAAAACTTTGCTCTAGACTGTTGTCTATGCATGGCTCTCTTCGATCTTCGTTCCCAGCTCCTTCGCAGGGCTTCTCATGACAGTCTTGGTGGTCACGTTGAACCAATGTTCTCCGACGTAAGAAACAACCCAGCCCCTGCCATCAGACAGCGTCACGTTGTCAAACTCCTTCGGCCCAAAGTGCCTCTCTCCGTGTAGCGCGCCATGGCTCGTGAAGGCATACCAGACGTTGAAATGCATGCCGTCGCCCATCGGTGTGAGGCTGAAGGTGATTTGGTTCGCGGTAGTGTGCTCGATTGGATCTTTGCAGACTGTCTCTGTGACTGTAGGAACTATGCGCGACGCGGGCATGTCTACCCGGCACAGCACAAGGCCAGAGCTGGGGGTCGGCCTGATGGTGAATTGGGCACTATAGAGATATGATGTCAGTCATTTGAACCATCGACAACTGAGCTAAAATGTACGAACAAGCTTCCTTCTGCCGGCGTCTTGCCACCGGCAAACATTTGGTGAATCTCGAAGATTGGCTCTTGGGCTTGGAGGACCGGACTGCCGAGAGCCAGGCCTGGCAGAAGGAGAAAACCCAAGAAGTTGCGCATGTTGACGTTGATGGCGAGAATGAGGTGATAGCTGTGAAGTTTCCGAATCTCTTGATTTGTCCGGGGCCTCAGACTGCTGTTGGCGGGGGTCCCTCGCCCCTTATATCCTCCATCACGTCTGTGAGAAACCCTCTTGCGCTCTTGGCAGGTGGTACACCAAAGCTGAAGCTAAACAACTCACGATGCGCCAGCGGAGATGCAATATTTCCCACAATCTTTGCGAACGGCCGATGAAATGCCGCAAGCTTCACTTCCTCGCACCATCATGACGCCCCTGTCTTGCGAGCTCGGCGAGGCAGCCTCACCGAAGCTCCCAAAATAAGCCCACCATGTGACTATCGGAGTAATACCCGGGTGCAAACATCGAGTTGCCAGGGTTATACGAGGCTCTTCAGGGCTTCGTGCAACCAAGCAAGCCGCATCGAGATCTTCCAATCGGCTCGCTGCCCGGCCGAACTCACAGAACCCAAGAGTCTTGACATCCACGTGTAGCGACCGAGACAGGCCAGATAAATGTTCACGCACCACAGACGATGCTCGCTTCTCTTTAACAAACAAACTTTTGGTATCCCATATTTTTGACTATCCACATTCGTCTAAACGCTAATCGTACGGAAGACACTAAACTCATCTCCGGTAGCTACCAAGCTGCCAGTGATCTGAGGGTGCCAGTGCAGCTCCTTGACGTTGGACAGGTAGTGCACAAACAGCAGTTGAGGCGGTACGTCCTTGACACCGCCAGTGTCCTTGCTCTCCTCGTCGTCGAGCTCGACAGCCAAGTCCCACAGCGTGACGGTGTTATCGGCCGCCGCAACAGCGACGATGCTGTCGTCCGTGGGGTGCCACTCGACGCTCGTGATCTGCTCCTTGTGGTAGTTGAAGCTGGCGATGGGAGAGGGCTTGTCCTTGGCGGACGTCGAGCTCTGCTTCCACTGGCGCAAATCCCAAACGGCAAACTCGCCGTTGTCATCGCCAGAGGCGAGGAGATGCGTTGTCAACTTCGACCACGACATGACGTTGACATCGGCCGAGCTGACCTGCATCGTCAACGCAGGCTTCCTGCTCTTGCTGCGCACGTCCCAAACGCGAATGGTGCCGTCGCTCGAGGCGGACGAGAAGACGGACTGTTCGGAGGGACTCCACTGGATCTCCTCAACGGAGCTGGTGTGGCCCTGGAATGGCCTGGTGTCGGTGACGAAACCGCCGCCGTCGGTGCGTGTTGTGACGTAGATAAGACCGTCGTTGTCACCGGTCAAGAGCTTGCCACCAGGGACAAGAGGGGACCAGTCCACTGCGTAACCCTCGGCCTTGTGGGCGCGGATAGTAGAGACTGGCTTGTTCTGTTGGGCGGTGATGGTGGTGCCCGGGTTGTCGAAGGAGTAGAGGTGAGGAGTAACGTCATGAATGAAGACGTTGGAAGATTCGGTCATGGTCGCGGTAAGGGTCGTAGGGGGCTTGGTAGGATCTTGGTTGGGGATCTGGTGGGCGCGAACTCGGTTCGTGGTCGAGTTCAGGGGGATCGCCTTGTGTTCGAGAATGGGGTCGGAGTCCTCGTCGTCGTCGTCGTCGTCTTCATCATCATCGGAGTCCTCCTCGCCCCTCTCCATGCGGCTCAAGCCGCTGAACTTCATGACCAATAGCTCGTTGTCGTTCGCTTTGGCGTTCTCTGCTTGTGTACCGGCGACGGAGTACATGGTGGCGGGGTAGACCTTGCGGTTGTCGCCAAGGCTGTCTCGCAGGATATCGAAGGAAAGACACGGCCAAGGAGTGCTGATGTTGTGCAGCATCTGGTAGGTAGATGGGTCTGGCGCAAGCGACTGGCCGGGTTCGAGCTTGTTACGTCCGACGATGAATGTGCCTTGGTCAACCTCCATTGCGCCTGATCTGTCAGTCTGTGGACGGTCGAGGGGATCGCAAACTTCTTACCCTCCTTCTCCTCGGCTTCTCTCTCGGCATCTGGGCGTCCGTCAACACCAGCCTCCATGATGCCATCCTCACTCTCGCTCTCGAACTCGTCCTCGAATTCGTCCTCGAACTCGCCCATGCCGGGGTCCTTGTCGTCAATCTCCATGCCTTCAGGGCGATCGCCACCCTTGAGGGGGGCATCACCCATTTCGACGTCGGCAGCGCGCTTCGACATTATGCAGTTCTTTGGGGGATAATTAGTGTCGAAAAAGAATCGGCCGGTATGCGCTGCGAATTGTGAAAAAGCAGTGCTGCAGAAAAAAAAAATTAAGGCCCCGCGATTTGTGGCGCGTGCCAGCCGATAGGTACCCCGCGTGGCGCTAATCTGCGCCGGGAACCGTTGCGGTGTGGCTTGAATAAAATATCACGTGGCTCAATTCCCCCGACGCGTCGCGCTTTCCATTGTCTCACTGGAGTCACATTGCCTTCGGTGTTGATTGCCCCGCCATAACGAGTGACGGCCTGGCCTTCCATCTCGACGGCATCGGGCTGCTTCTTAACCGACCATCGCACTCTCTGCTGGATCCAGCACCGCCTCTCCCCTTGACGATGTCTCCGAGAAGAGTATCGTCATCATGGCGACGCATCAAAACACCTTCAGCGTGATCTCGAATGGCGCTCCAGGCGGTGCTCCGAGTAGGCCGCCCATGACGTCGAAGCAGGCCCAGAAGCTCTACAAGCAAGCGAACAAGGTTCCTCGACGATCGAAAGCCGAGCAACGAAAGTGGGAGAAGGAGAGGCAAGAGGAGATCAAGAAAGAGCTGGAGCGGGAACGCGCTGCTGTCAAGGCAAAACAGGCACGAGATCGAAAGAAGGCAAAGGAAGAGGAGGCCCGCGAGAACCGACGACGACAAGGACAACCCCTAGTTGATTGTCGTCCCAGTCAAGATACTATCGCAAGATTCGTACGTGGGAATGGGACGAGCAGAAAGAGGGACTCGTCGGGTGAGCCGATCCCCGAAACCGAGAAACCCAACGTCGCCACCGCGACCAAGTTGGCAGATCATGCTCCCACCAGCAGCCAGTCGATACGCTCGCCCCGAAGTGCGGCTTCTCAGGAGCGCCGGGTTTCTATGCCGCCGCCACCTCGTCCCTCTCAAAAGTTCAAGTCAAAACCTTCTGCGCCCACGACGTCTCAGTTCAAGACCCCGCTAGTGTTGAAGACAAATCCCGTACAAGCACCACAGCCGCCTCCTGTGTTTAAAGTGCCGGTAATTAAACCGGCTCAGGCTGGTTCTACTCATCCCACACCTGTGGAGAATCCACCGAAACCACCTCCAAAGTCAAGAACGAAACGATTCATGATGCCCAAAGGACTCTTGCCAGGCCAGCAGCCCACACATCCTAAGCCCGTTAAGCAAGAGAAACAAGACTCGGTCAAGCAAGAAAATGTTTGTCTGGAAGCTGTCAAGAAAAAGGCAGACACGGCTCAACTAGGAGACCAGAAGCCTCTCGGGCCACGTGCGCCAACACCCAAGTCCACAGATGGAAAGAAAAGCGAGGGAAAGCCCTTGAAACCGCCAATTTCGCTCGAACTAACCCCGGCTGAGACTTCAATCTCTGGGATTAAACGAGTTGCAGAGGGGCAGATGGAGCAGAGATGCAATGAGCAGGAGCCAGTTCAGCATGGCCTGGTTAAGCAGGTGCCGGTTGAGCGAAGGCAAGCAGTTGAGCCGTCAAAGATGCCTCCGCCACCAATACCCTCGCCGCAACGATCTACTTGTCTGATGCCGCCGCCGAATATGCCCCCTCCTCCAATTCCTCGATCGCGAATGACTCCCCCGAAAGTGCGCTCTTCGCAGGCGCCATCACCGCAGGAGTTGTCGCCTCAGAGGCCGCCGCCGAGCACCCAGGCCATTATCCAGGACTGCTTCGACGACGTCTTTCTGACAGCTTCGCAGTTGGCCCTGGAACTCGAGGATGATGAGCCTGATGAGAATTCACAGGCCTTCGCCCAATCTTCTCTCAAGGAATACGAGTCTCCTCGGTTTACCAGCTTGGAAAATAGTCTACCAGAGCGAACGCAACGGCATGTTCCGGCCCGGCCGGTGATCAGCGATATGGCATCACATCAGGCCAAGAAACCTCGTACTGAGGGTGTCGTCGAGTCTCACAAAAGCTCAAGAAACTCTAGACCAACTGCAAAGCCGTCCAGCGCTCGCTTCACCAGCGTGCACCACACGCCACAGACAGAACTGCCTACCACTGCCAAATTTCAGACACCTGATCCCAAGCAACGAGGGAATCAACGCTATACAGAGAAACCAAACAGGGGCTTGCCGGGTCGAGCACCTTTCGCGCGCCCGGCCCCTACGAAACCTACACCTTTCAGAGAATACGGCCAGACGACAACAAAACCCACCAGAAACGACCACCTGCACAGGACACCGATAACGCCCAAACCCAGGGGCATTCTACAGGAAATCAGTCGCAACCGCATTCCTCAGCCGAAGCCTCCGGCCGCCGCGAAACCCGTATTCGACGACTTCTTTCCCCTGATTTGTACTCAGGACTTGATGATGTCGTCGCAGGAAGTGTTGGAGATAGAGTCCCCGGCGAAGGTGGATAGTGAACCGTCCTCCGGAGGTTCGCTGGGAGGTCCCGAGTACCAACCATCACCCCTGATTGAAATGGACTTGGCGGCTATTGATTGGGATGACGACTTGGATGACTTTTGAGACGCATGGAAAAGCATTATCAAGGCGTTTAGGGGCCCCGTGAGACATAGCAGCATTTTGACAACGGACAAGTATTATAAACGATAACATTGAGCATTTCAGGGGACGGTGGTGCAGGCGTTTTGTACCCTTAGAACAAGCAGGACACGAGTGAGTCTTGGAATGAATAGCATGAATTTCAGCGACATGATACCATATGGTATATTCATCCTGGTTAAGGATATCATAATCAGATTTAGCCCTGGTGGACTCCATACACAATAACCTCAGAGTGACCGAGGCCTAAAGCTATGTAATGTGGATCTCTGTCATGTATCTCTCGGTTTCCTAAGCCTTTGAGGATCTCATCTGATACTGATAGCCCCGTGGAAACCACTGACGCCCATGCAGCGTGTAAAGCAACGCAAAGTCAAACCTATACCATGATCGGGGGAATCTCCGTTCCAGTGAAGCCAACCTCCCAATTCAAACGCCGAGCCAATGCATCCCGCTAACCCGGATGACGCCAACCCTCTGCCTGTGGCTGCCAAGCCAACAATCCTTGCGATCATCGCCGCGATAATCAGAGATAAATACCAACCCAAGAGCCCTTGTTCCCAGCTTGAGTGTCACATCCATCGACCGAGCAAATGATCTTACCCTCGGGGTTGGATGGTAAGCCCGTGTTTCGGCGCTTGGCCGTTGGTTTGCGGTTCTCGAAACATTCCTCACAGTACACCTAAATGAAGTCAGTCTCAACCTAGATTCTCTGCATATGGGGCGGGACATCTTACATGTCCACAATCCTTTAGGGCCCAGAAGTGGTGCTCGCTACGCTGCCGCTTGCCCTTGCGTGATGGATGACTTTCGCTCGCGGGGACGTCGGGATCGTAAGCGAGCTCTTCGTTGCAGCACGGACATATCACGACCATGTCAGAGCCTGTGTCTCTCGTGTAACCTGGCTTCGCAGGAGGCGGAGGCTGGTGTACGGGTTTTGGGGATTCCGCGCGGTCGAAAGCGTTATGCTCGTACTGCAGCTGAATGTTCCCGAGCGGGTTATTAAGGTCGCCTGGGTTGATCCGATTATGCAAAATGCCGAGAAGCTGAACGTCCTCCTCTTGAGCGGGAAATAGACGGAGTGGGTACAGGTGTCTCCTTAGTCCCGCAGCCAGACCACTGAATGCGCTCGCCGGGTTGTAAGGCATGAAACCGCCTCGGTCTCTGTGCTCCCGATTTCTCCCTGGAATTGGAGGCAACTGTCTGTCGGGTCGGCGGCGCGGGACTTCGGGAGAGTCATCCGTAAGGTCAATCACGTTGGGTGCGTTGCCGGCGAGGATGCTGCTGTCGCTTCGTGCAAGTGCTGGAGGGTTGCGTCCCTGCGAATTCTGCCGTCGAGGATTCACGCTTGGTCGTGGCGCATGGGATTGAACGGGACTGTCTGGCTCGTTCGTGAGGTCGATTACATCAGCTGGGCCTTGCTGGTTCTGCTGAGCTCTGCGTTGGGGTCGCTCCTGCCTAAAGTACAGTTCCAAGTCGACCAGCACATCGGGACCTGCACCTGCGCCGTTCGCGGCGTTGGCCTGTCTTGGTGCTGCCATATTGCCGGGGCGGTTGAGTCGTTGTGCTCTGTGTTCTATGAGGGGCGGCAGTCGATCGTCAAGCTCGTCTAATTCGGCAAGAAGGGCAAGCTCGAGCTCGCCTTCGAGATCAGGGGACAAAGGGTAGGAATCGGGACGAGAAAACAAGTCGGCGTATGGGTCAGCTGACGAGTCCCGAGAGGGTGATGTGTCTAGGTCTGAAAGCGGCTCTGGAGATTCGGACAGCTCCTCCGGGTCCCAATCGTGTTGTGCGTCAGCTTCAGAGTCGAAGGAGGGCGAACGCGGACCGAGTCGATCGGAGGGATTGGAGTTGTGGTCGGAATGCTCAGAGACCAAGTCCTCAGCAGCGGCAAAGAATTCGTTGTAGGCCTGAATGTCGTCGTCGTCGACTGCTGGGATATCGATATCGGAGGAGAAGGGTTCAGGCGAAGAAGGTTCAGGCGAAGTATCTAGACTCATGATCCAGTTCCAAGCCTGGTGGGTTGGCGCTAGAGATGTGTTAGTGTCCTAAGCCCAAGTAATGCGAACAGAAAGGTGCGCACGAACAAACCGTGTCGTCAAAAATGCGCAGAGCAAGGTCCAGGGAGATCCAGGCCACAGGTAGCTGTGAGGCGTACCTCTGTACGTCAGGTATGGATCGTGGCGCTGAGTCGCGGCTTCTCGGTGGAGAAATAGGGTAGGTAGGAGTGAATCTCCTACGACGGGCGCGAAAGTTGTGCGACCATCCCGTGGGCAAAGTCGTGCGCGATCGGATTCCCAGCTGCGGAGGCGGCGAAGTTGTCGGGGGTATGGTGTTGCTGTTGAGAGCAAGTCTGGTGGACAAAGTGCACGCAGCCTCGAGATTGCCTCCAGGCTGGGTGAGAGGTGTTGTTGGTGGCGGTTGCGTTAATGTTGTTTAGATCCGAATGGATGGACGGAGCACCCGACACTGAACGACTTAGATAAGCTCACACGGTGCAGGGGCGATTGAACCCGATAAGCTGGACCCCTCTGCGCCAACAGGGAACGTGGGTACCTGCCTGCCGAAGGGATGTCGCTAAGCGAAGAACCTTGACAGCGCCCATCACAATGACGGTGCAAATTGGCGTTAGGCCTACGGTGCTTATGTCATACCTTGGCCCCCAGGAAAGGTTACTGCCTTAATAACTCACTGAGTGTGTAATCGTCTCGGTGGTGGTTCACTGGGGGCGAGAGTTATGTTAGATGCTGGGCTGTTCTCAACCAAGGTGCCTAGGTAGGCCCGGGGAATTACTGCGCACCAAGATCGACACATGGCGACGGCCAATGCCCGGCAAATGCGCTCCGTCGCAAGACAAAATCGAGGCTATTACCCCGACAAACAACACTCCTTGTACATCCAATATGAGCCCAAGACGTCGGATATCATTTTGATAGACTTGTCCGCCCCATTACTGCCTATAATACACATGCGGCAAATCCGGATACCTCCAGCTACTTTTTATTCCGCCTTAACTCCAAACACAGAAACGACGCCATCCTCATTGACAGAAACCAGCTGCTTGGCTCCAGGGCCCCATTTCACAGACGCCGCCGCAACGGAACTCCTGAAAGGCTCCGACCATGCCTTGGAGCTCTTGATGTATTGCTGAACAGTGACACCTCCCGCACCGCCAGTGGCAAGGAACTGGCCGGTATAGTCCCACGCCAAAGACTGGACAGGTCCGCCCGTCTCCAGCGTCTTGGCTCTAGCAGCGTCTCCCTCTTTGCGCAAGTCGAAAATTGTAACCGAGCTCTGGCCCTTCGCCGTAGCCGCCAGCCAGAATCCGTTTTCTGAGAAAGTCACAGCCTCAACGGGCGCGCCAAGAGAGAACGCAGTGGCGAACTCGAGGCTTGTCGTGTGGAAGAGCTTGATCTCGCCGGAAACCGTACCAGCGGCGAAGAGGTGGCCGTCGGGGTGGAAAGCAGAGGATGTCAAAGCTGCGGCAGTCAGTGGTGGGCGCAAAGAGTTATGCGATGGGCCAACAACTTACAGGCGTCTGTGTATGCCCTGCTGACTCTTCTCAGAGCGTGAATATCGTAAAATGCAATGCTCTTATCCGAACCAACGGAAGCAAGCAGCTCACCCGTGGGGTGAACGCTGAGCGACGTGGCAGGTCCAGCGTGCTCAGAGAGCGACGCGATTTCCGCACCGCCCTCAAAAATCTTGACGGACCCCTTGCTCGTGGCAAAGATGAGCTTGCTTCCAGTCCAGGCAGAATCGAGAACAGGCTCATTGACTGCAACCTGGCGTTCAACCTGCTGCGCTTCGACTGAGTATATCGCCGCTTGTCCATCACGGGCACCAACGGCAGCATAACTACCCTCGAGGGCAAGAGAGGAGGCTTGCGAAAGGGATGTCGATGTGGAGGCCACAGTGTCCAAGGAGGCGATATCATCGGGGGTAGCCCAGCCCTCAGGAACTGGACGCTTCTTGCGACCCTTGGACAGCCTGCAAAGTGTCAGTCAACCGTAGCAATACACTCATCCTTGGAAAGACATACTCTTGATGCTTGGCGCTGACCTTCTCGGCCAGCTCTTCGGGAAGGGTTTCGGCAGAGTCGATAGCCATTGCATCTCCATTTGTAGCACCAGCGGTGACGCTGACCTTGGACAGCGCCTCTCTGGCCTCATCCCTCTCTTTTGTCAATCTGGCGATAACTCTGACGGCGGCATCGTGTTGGTACAGAGCCGTAGCGAGCTCCTCTCTCGTTCTTGCCAGCTGCTCCTTCAAGTTGAATGTCTCCAGAGCTAGCGCATCCCACTCGTTCTGGAAGGTCGCCAGCAGCGCTGGGATGGAGGTAAGGGTCGGGGGTCGAGGTCGGACGATGTGCGACTGGGTCAACGGGAGGAGATCGTCGGCCGTCAAGGCTTCGCCGGTGACGGGCTCTGTGCCGTTCTCTTCGATGTACTTCTCGATCAAGCGCTTCTCGAAGACGGTGCCTATTCGTTGTTAGCCAGCCACATCTGTCGGGCGCAGCGCGCGACTACCTACCCGACTTCTTTGAGGCAACGGGCTCCTGGGGAGCTTCTCCCGAAACTGAAAAACGCGTCAGATACTTCCAATTGAATTGAGAAACATCGTCACTCACTTGCGCAAAGCATCTTATCAAACGTCGCGATGTAATGGCCGTTTGATGGTTCGCGTCGGCTTTTCTCTCCAAAACAAATCTTCAGCCTCGATGCCTGCCTGGTAGTAGCAGCTAGCGGTGGACCCAGAACTTCAGCACGAGCCACTCCATCACGTGTGGCTTATCGACCATATCTTATCGGCTTATCGAGCCATGATATCACACCCGTCGCGCAGTTGGCACCTCGGCATCTTTAACTCATTCTTCAGAAAGTCAATTCAGTAACAATTCGTCCCAAACTACGGAAACATAGCGAAAATGACCTCACTCCCCGACATCAGTACTCTCGTTCAGCTCTCTGGAGAAGAGCAAACCAAAGTTCTCGATCTCCTCTTCGAACCAAGCCCCGCGATTCACGCTCTACTCCTCCCCTCGTTATCCGCCGCTTCATTCGAATCCTACAACGAACTGATCGCCCATTGCCAAAAGATTTTTGAGGCACTCGTCGCCGATCCCTCCCACAAGACCGAACTTCATGCGATAATCGGATCACACCCTCGGTTGGGTGCCAAAAAGGTTGAGAGCGCTCAATCTGTCGCTGAGCAGGCCAAACTACAGACCGGCGATGGCACCGAGCTGGCTGCGCTGAACTCGGAGTACGAGATCCGATTCCCTGGTCTGAGATACGTTGTCTTCGTAAATGGGAGGGGCCGTCCTGAGATCATGGAGGACATGCGCACGCGCATCGCCCGCGGCGATATCGCTCTGGAAGAGCGCGCTGCGGTAAAAGTGCGTAGGCCGGAGCCGCCCGAAGCCCGACGTTATTTGCTAACCTGAGCAGGCCATGTGCGATATCGCAAGAGACAGGGCATCCAAACTGCAGGCGGCTTCTCATTGAATGATTGAAAACGTATCCACGTCGACGAAAGGGTCTCCGCTCGAACGAGTCCCGAACGAATAATGTCATCAGCGAGCAATAAGCGGTGCCAGGAAGGAAGGGCACCGAGGCCTGAATTCAATACGGCTAGCCCAATGTAGTTCCCCATATCTACGGTGTCTATCTAAGCCCATCTTGTACGCCGCATGTCTCCTACAACTTCGCACTCTCCTCGAGTAACTTGAGCAGTCTTCCGACACGCTCGGCCTCTCTGTACCCGCTGACGACGGCTCCAGCAACACTGCCACGGTGCTCCATCTCGGTGTGCTCTCCGGCAAAGCCAAGGCGCCCGTCCCAGACAGGCCTGCTCAGCTCCTTGAAGTCAAGAGGACTGCGCTCGCCGTTCTCTGAAACGATAGAGGGAGTTGTTGTTGCACCACGGGAGTACTCGTCAGTCAGCCAATTAGTCAGGCTGGTGTCTGTCGGCTCTGGGGGTTGAGAGGACGGCTGGAACCGGGAAATGAGGAACTTGTGGAAGGCGGCAGCTACATCCTTCGGGTCGTGTTGCAGAAGGGCGGTGGCAGGGGTCTCTGAGAGATAGGTCAGAAGAGTTGGGCTCGGGCCCGGTAGCGACGGCGCCGCGAAGTTTGCGGTGACCAGAGTGGAAGCCTCGAAGACTTCAAGGGGCGTAGAGCTCTCGGTGACGGGCTTAGTGGATGTGGGCAAGAAGGTATAGGAGCCGGCCTTGTCGGCCTCGGGCCACCAGGCGCTAGGGTATTGAAGCAGAAGCTTCTCGAGGACGCCGACGTGGGTGCCCTTAATCGCCTCCTGAAATCGGGGTGGCAGAGCGGGACTGAAGGTGCTCTCGGGAAGGGTCTTGAGAACACCAAGAGGGATGGTGGAAATAGCCGTTTTTGCCGTGAACTTGTTGCCGTTGGTATCCGTGACAACGACGCCGCTCTCACTTTGAGATACACCCGCAATCTTGGTACCCAGCTTCACCTCGACACCCTTGGATTTGGCATCCTCGACGACCCTAGTGACGAGAGCCTGGTAACCTCCCTCGGGAGCAGCATCGGAACCTGCAAATGCCGTAGCACCCTCCCAGCCAGCCCACTTGAGCGAAGCCTTTTCGAGCTTGAGGCCCAGCGGGACCTCTAGGGATCGAGCGAGAGCAGCGGCCAGTTCCTTTGAGGATTCGTCAGAGGCTGTTGAGAAGAGAGCCGAGTTGGGTGCCAACAAGGCAGATGCCAATGAGGCAGACGACGGGGGAGACGGGTTGGGAAGCTTGGTAGAAGCCTGAGCAGCACCTAAGCCTGAACGCAGGCTGTCGGCACTAGAACTGGAAAGGCGGCCTTCATGTCATCAGCTATGGCAATTCTACTCCAGGTCAAGACGTGAAAACGAACCATTGGGGCCATAAATCACACCCTCAGCAGGCTGGGGCAGGTGAGCAGCCTACTCATCTCATTAGCCTAACGCCAGTCATGCATAGGTAATCGCATCGACTTACAACACCGAAATCCTGAGCGATATATCTAGCAGGGTTTCCTTCCCGGTAACCGTGAATCCAGCTGCATCCAACATCAACCTTGACATCTCCCTTGACCCAGGTGTTGGCACGTCCTCCGATTCTGTCTCTGGCCTCTAGGACCAGGACCTTGCGTCCCTTGCCGGCGAGCTCGCGGGCGGCAACAGCGCCGGACCAGCCAGCTCCGATAACGATGGTGTCTAGTACTTCTGCCATGATGCTGCGAATAGACATATGTACAGTCAAAGGGAACACGAGAAGATGCTTATAGAATCAGATGAAATCCGGGGTGGTGCTTCGCCTGATTAAATGAACCCCCACCAAACACCCCGCCCGTCCCCAACGCTGTAAAGGCGGCGGGGGCGGAACCTAACCCGGGGAGATGTCCGACCGGGCCGACCATCGGAACCGGCGGGGTCTTCCAGGCGCAAAGGGCCCCTCCCTCGTCTCGAGGACACACCTGAACTTGCTCCAAGTTTCCGTTTCCGGCCTAATTCCGGCGATACCCAATGGCATCATATCTTGAGGTGAAGTTGTCTTCGCCAAGAGATAAGGTTTTCTGCGTATGCTGTGCTTCTTGCCCTCAACGCGCTTTTTTCCCTTTTCGTGTTGAAAAGTGCGTCTTCTAAATCAAGTCATTGAGTGATTGAGAGGAGATTGAGCAAGCTAGAAAGCCGGCGAGGTTTGTATACGATCAATGACAGGCGTTGCGGCCTTTTCTCTTATTCTGTGCGAGTATGCTCACTATTTAGTCAAGTTTTGGACTTCGTTATCATCCTCACATCTTTTCGTTCTTCCTGACGTTCTTCTGACGTTCTCGCGTTGTTCATCAATTGCATGACCACCTTTGAAGAACGCGCTCCGCTTCAGATTGGCCTAGATCTTGCTCTTCAACTTGAGCAAGCAATATAGTTCCGAACACTCGGCGGCCTTGCGATCTAAGCTTCACCGCCTCCCCGGCATCACCGGCCAACCCACGATATCCCGTCCAGCTCATCGAGATACTCCTCATACGAGCCATCATCCTCACCATCTCGGGCCTGTGCCGACCCGCCGAAGATGGCACCAAAATCTGAGTATACGTCTTCCAGGTCGTCTTCGTCAGCCCAAGCGTACTGGCAGTCTTGGTCTGACGTCGGGAACGCCAGAGGAGCGTCGTCATCCAACTCTTCCAACATGGTCTCGGACGGCGTCAAGTTGGGCGAGCGGGCTGGGTGTAAGCGTGGCGATTTCGGCAACGTGCGTGTGGACTGCGGCGTCCTCGGAGGAGACGGTTTCCTCTCCACCTGCGTCGACAGAGCACTTGGACTCGGGGTATTTATTACGCCAGGGCGCATCAAAATTACCCTCGGAGGTGGCTGTTCCTGTCTCTCGGCAAGTGCAGAAGACGGAGCGACGAACCTTGCGCCGGTGGCAAGCTGTTGGCCGTGGTGAAGCACAGCAGCATTGGCAGCCGCAACGGCAATGACGACGTCGCCCCGCTGCGTCGCCTCGTTCCGCACGCGGAGTCTCACTCTGTTCAACACGGCCGCCCGCAACATCAACGAGCTCTCACGGTTGAAGCCCGGTTTCCCGTGCTCCGGCGAGGTGGCCACCGCAGCCAGCTTGACGAACCGCTTATCGCCCGAAGCCGCACCGTCACGGTTGATGATGTGCGTCGCGGGTAGTGAGTACGGCTGGGACAGCCGGCTGGTGATTAGATGAAGTCTCAAGCGACGCTTCTTGGAGCTCAGGGCGGCCGTGTGTGGTCCGTCGACGTCTGAATCTGGCCTGCGGCGTTTTTCGAGCTTAAGCAGCGAAAGTTGTTTAGGAAAGTCAAAGTCGGCTTTCTCATGTTTCTCGCTCAAAGTAACTGCAGTGTTCGACTGCTCTCGGGCTGAGGAGGACGAGGCCTGTTCAGTCGCTGGGGTAGCCTTCGGTGAGGCCGTTGCGAGGAGCTCAAGACATTGTATCAGGGGACTCTCCGCGTCTTTTGGGGCACGGGTTTGGGCTGAATTCGAGGGGCAGCCTCCATGGTTTATGGAGCATTGCCGTGGCACCAATGATGAGAATAGGTCGCTCCCAGCGTCCGAGTCGATGGTGTCTTCGCATCCCGACCTTTCAAGCTGCCATGTCCTGAACGGTTCTAAGGTCTGGCGGTTTAGAGACCCGACTTCGAGCACCATATTTGTGCTTTCCGCGATGGTACTTTTCTGGAGTGAAAGTGTTGGTGGAAGATTTGCTGAAGTCCTAGTCCAGGCCCGCGGGTTGCACTGGAGGAGGACTCGAACGATCAAAGTCGTCTCATTCCCCACATCCGCTCACTGAGTGCTGAGCTTGCTTTCATACACATCCCACTCGAAAGATATGACGGACAATTCAAGCGAAGGTGACTACGGAGCAAAGCGTCTCCAGAAAAAGAAGGAAGACAGCCAGAAGGAGTATCTCTTGGCCGGATAGAAAGGACCCTTATGTCAAGTGACGGGCGTGCGGGCTGAAGTGGGGAGGACGGGAGAGGCGAAAAGGCTAACTCGGGGCCGCGACTGCAAGACAAGCACGAGACCCAGTCTCCTACTTATTTTGCCGGATTCCTCTTACTACCGCCGCAGAGGCACAGAAAGTGTGGAGAGGCGGAGAAAGAGAGACATAGGAGGGAGATCAGCGTGGACCAACGGGGCGGAACCGCTCATTGGTAACCTGACCAGCGTGTCGTGTTCACACTCTGTTCCCCTCTCACACCTCCTCTTTCCTAGCTGTGTGGTGCTACTTCGCCGTACCACGCAGACCAGACTAGGCGGAGCGAAAGGTCGATATTGACTGATGTGTGGAGGAAGATGAAGCAGGGCAAGGGTCGCGGGAGGCAGGAATGGCAAAGACCTGGGGAAAAGACCAGCTTGGAACGAATGGGATGGTCGGGATGCGGCGGTCCCCCCCTGGTCATGCACCACCACCCCGGTCTGGGGTTGAGAGGGGCAGACAATGTGACATGGGCAGGAAATTGGGGCTTTTTTTTTTCAGCCTTCAGGCTTGGGACATGCTTGAGCTGTATGCAAGTTGAAAGCCCAGGAATTCAGGTAAGCATGTTGTGTAACATTCCCAAGAGGAAGGCAGATATATATCTCATCTCTTGCCGCCTTGTTCATGGTTTCGCGTGGAAGTAGACAGTGGTTCATGATGGCTTGGCATCAGGTGAAGCTTCAGTCGGTCTTTGTTCATCGTAAATAAGTAACCCATCGATAACATTGATGAGGAAGTAAATGAGGGAAGCGCCCGCTAGGGAGGAAGAGACATGATTTCCTGCACCCCAGACTAGAGACTGCCCTCTCCGAAGTCGATGTGACACGACGATGCACGCCACACATATCTTCTAGGTAGAAGGCCAGGTGCTGACGCTGACACCTCCGAGAAACAAACCGGAGGCTCGGTGGGAGCGCGTTTGCGGGAGCAGGGGTGCTGATAGCTTGGAGGGGATAGAAATGATGCGCAGGTTCAAAGGCCAATGTCTCTATCAGTGTACCCAGGAGTGGCTCTCGCCACTATCCGAAGAGCTGAGAAGCCAAGAAGAAGACACTGCATTCCTGATCATCTCGATTTTCCCCATTATATTTCTACAAAGCCCAATATACAAAAGTCATGTTTTTCTGAAATTTTTGGCGGCTTTTGGGCATCAAGCAATGTTTCTTTTTCCGCCCGTGGCTTGAGTCACCCGCAGCTCTGAGGTTTTCCAATTGCGCTCATCCAAACAAACAGCCACGCTTTCAAATATGGAGGGCCTCACTTGGCCCTGCATCTTGTTTTAAATAGCATCCCGGTTAGGAAGTCCGCAGTCGGCCATCCTTTAAAGGGCTCGATTCCGACGACTGATCAGCGAGATCACGCCTCGGTAGAGCAGGCTGTCAGCAACGGGACAAACTGCAACGATCTGCCTCTTCGCCTCCTCGCTAGCAGTTTGACTGGCATCCACCTCGAGTACCGAAGGAGCCAGAGCAGTCGGAATGTAACAACACAAAAAGAAGCACCAAGTGCTCAGAAGGCGACGGCAGAAGCTGGTCTCACACCGAACATGTCTCTCATTTGCTCGCTCAGTTTGCGGGGAAAAGCCGTCTCCCCAGGCCTTGTCCTGCCATCGTGTTCATGCGCCTGGCCCATCACTACGGGGTGCATGATGCAGTGTGCCCGTCCAACAGAAATCATTCCGACACCGCTCATTAGCAGCACCGTTTGCTTGATGGCATACCTACTCTGAGCTGAGAAGGGGGGGAGCAGGGCGAGGCGAGGGCGTTGGACGCGGGGAGCCCGGAAGAGCATCGCGCGGTGCTCGTTTGCCCACCGAGCAGTGCATTTTCCGTACGGATGGCTGCTGTGGTCTGGTTTGGGCTGTTGGACAATGAGCGGCTAGCCACGACATGGGAGGGTCACGCGCCGTCCAGGAGAATTCTCACTAGGGGGTGATTTCGGGGTGAGAAGAGCGGGTTTTGGACCAATAATGTCGGGGACGAATGACTTTCTCGATGTGGTTGTAACTTGTAGTGTGGGCATGAATTGGGTTCGTCCGTCGGTGGCAGCCGGGCGGGCTGTGCGGTGCGTCAGTGAGTACCTACTGACCGAATTGCCAAGGAGTCGTCGACATTGACAAGTTCTCTGCGTCTTTTCCAGCGTTCTTCTGTCAGTTGGTAAAACATACCAAGCCTTCCTAACCCAAGAAAGTCATCCAGAAGTCCGGAACGCCCGCATGCTGCAACTCCTGCATATTGGGCCCAGTAAAGCTTGTCGAATACAGCAGAGATGGGTTCAAGACCCTCATCAACTGCCTGGCACAGCTAGACAATTAAGCCAAGACCCACTGGTCTGCTGTGTCTTCCATCAGTTGTCAAAAGCGCTGACAGTGGGCTCTTGGCCGAGGCCACACACGCCAGGCCACAAGTGTAAGGTGACAACCGACCAAAAGTTCGTCTGAGGTCGTGTTTGTTTTTTGGGTCCGTGAAGAGAAGAGTCCTGCCAGATCGAGGCAAACAGGTGGGCAATGTGTCCGCAATTAAGGGTAGCAGCGGCTTTGGCCTCTTGGGAAGAGTCGCGACATGGGTGTCCAAGTACTGTCAGAGCGTCGAATGCCTTGAATGACACCGTATCTCCGGGCAATGGTGATCACTCATCAGCATCGCCGTCTTACATCAGCCACTTGGCGTGTTTTCCGTTCAGAGGTCCCCCTATCCATCTGTTGCCACCACCGTAAACACCCCGATGCACCCGGAGCAACACGGAAGCCGGCCATCATGAAGCTCAATTGACCCAGGGCCGATAATTATGGGCTTCTCACGGAGCGAGTCCGGGGGCCCCACAAACAACCACGGCTCTCCCTGGAGATCATCCTTTGCCTCCTCCACTCCAACAAGGAGCAGAATGATCCAGCGTGAGCGAGGAGCTTCCCCTCACATGGCTACCTCGGCTCCGCACCGAGAGTTTGGGGGAGCAGCTCCGGTACGCACGGCCACGGCCCCGCCGCAGGCCACTTCGTCCCGAGGTTCATTTTCCACTGGACGACCGATGTCTCAAAAACAGAGACTCTGTTGGGCCAAAAACAAGGCCCCTGGAAGCTTAATTCGCAAATCCCCAAAGCTTCCATAGCTGTCAACTTTACCTGCCAGAACTCATCTCATAAGCGTGTAGAAACATCCTCGGGTTCGTGCTTTACTTTGATGAATTGATTTTCCATTCAGCCATCCAACGCCATTCACTCTGCCGTCGCACTGTTCATTTTCTCCCTCACTCACAATGTCTGAGAAGCTTTGGTTCCAAAATGTTATGGCACTTGCCCCCCTACCGCCGCCAACTCCCGAAGGCAAAGTCAAGCGATACATGAGCCTTTGGCCAGCCTGGGTCCCTGGATCGGAGCTCGTTGGCGGCAAGGGGCGCGGATCCAAAGCAGATCCTCGAGCTGCCTACGGAGGACATGTGTACACACAAGCCCCGCTAGCTGCGTGTCGAGCGTTGGAGGAGGAGGAGCCGGCAGGGACGGGTACTCACTCAGGGGGTTTTGGACTTCATGTGAGATATCCAGTTGATTTACCAGGTGATGGCCTCGGTCACTAACTCGTCTCTCAGAGTATACAAGGCTGCTTCTCAGCGGCGGCGAGGGCCAACCGGCCTTTCGTGTACGAGGTTTCCAGTTTGTCTACCAGTCGGACGTTCTGCTCTCGCCTGGTAATAGTGCGTCAGCCGAAGGAACCAAGCAAACGACTCCAGGCCGATGACTTCAACCTCGAAGACTTAGAAAGCGAGCTCGGCGATGTCTGCTTTAGCTGTATATGCACTTTCAAACGACCAGAAGAGGGCCGGGTGAGCTCCCAGGAAGTCCCGCCACAGGAAAGGTTCGGCGAAATTCTCAAAGCAAAAGCACCTGGGGACTGGCCCAAGGCGCCTGCAGTGGACGTGGAAGAGATCAAAGCCATGTTTCCCGACGCCTCGGGTCATTTCCCCATTGTGGATATGCACAAGGTCGACTTGACTGGTTGGAACGAAGGAAAGCCGGTAACAGAACGGAGGGAACTGCTCTTCTACCGGCTGAGAGGGCCCCTCCCAGCTGACGACCCGAACCAGCATGTTCTCGTGCATGCTTTTGAGTCAGATCGCAACGGCCTTCTGATGGTGGGCAACCACATCGGCCTCGGATGGAGTCTGGGGACCGCAGCAAGCCTGACGTACGCCTTCGTTGTTCACGTCAACGTTGATGAGGCTGTGATGAAGGATCCTTCAGGGGCGGAGGACGGGTGGTGGATTCAGGAGGTTTCGTTCCCTCGTGCGGGTCAGGGGCGAGGGGCGCTCATGTGTAAGATGTGGAGTCCTTCTGGTGTTCATGTGGCTACGGGATATCAAGACGGCATCATTAGAGAGCGAAAGGTCGAAAAGGAAAAGTTATGATGACATGATGAACCACCGACGACCGGGCAAGGAATGGGGACACGCTAGCCCCAGCCGTTGTCAGGTCTTGTATACATTTTAGGCACTTACGTTAGACAGATTCTCTGGAGGTTGATAGATGGACGAGGCAATTTGGCTGTAGATGAGTTTTGCTTGTAGATGACACAAACATTCCTTTGGCGGGTTTTCGCACCTGCAGTTTCCATGCTCTACCTTGTAAACTGAGGTTGTTGCTTCCTTTTCCGTCTTTGCCGCTCTTTCCCCCCTTTGCTGCAACACTGAAGGGACTGTCGATTTGGAGGGTCTGATGACCTGCGCCTTCCTAAACTGCCTTTCTGCTGGCCTCCCGGTCGACGACAAAAAAACTCACCACCGCGTTTTACAGCCAGAGTCTTTTCTCAACAACCACCCACATCATCGTTACCACCATACCACCTCGCGTTCTCTCCTATACCACGCTACTTACTCATCGGTAACCTCGAAGCTCCGTCTGCAGTCACAAAGATTTCAAACTTATCCAATATCGAATAAGCCCTTTTTTTTTTTCTTGTTTGTTTTGTTTCTCATTCTTCAAGTCTTCAACACCCGGCTCTCGAGGCCGCCTCCCACTCCAACATGCCGACAATCTCACCCTCTCCTCCTACCCCGCTCATTCAGAAGTCGCGCCTGATCTCCTCTATCGCAGAGCTGGAGGAGACTGTGAAGGAGACTCAGGCTGCTGCCGACCTCATCGAGACAGAAATCGCCTACAAGGACGCTGAGATCGATGGCTTGAAACGGGACAGGATCAGCCACTCAGGCTCCACGAAGCGCTTCGACGACGCTATCACACAAATCCGAGTCAAAATCCAGCAGCTTTGCGACAAGTTCGATGAAACGATCGACACATTAGCTGCCCTCAGAGACAGGCTGGAGAAGAAGAAGGCCAAGCTCGCTGCAATTGCCCCTGTCGAGTCCACCGACGCCCCTGATCCCAAGGACGACGAAGAGGCAGCGGCACTACTCGAGATCACAAGCACTCCGTGGGAACAAGTTTTCGTCACAAGCGACGACGGCAAGACTTTCGTCAGGCCGGCTATGCTTCGGGGTGTCCCATCCACACCCATCACCGAAGACGGTCCGTACTGGGTGCCTACATGGACAAAATTCGTCGACGCCATGGACGCAGATCGCCTCCAGCGCCAATACGAAGACGACATTGATGAGAGGCACGAGAGAATGCTGCATGGCCCTCTCACAGACGAGGAAAAGGAGGACTTCGACAAGCGTGACAGGAGGTACTATCGACTGGCCAATGAGTTGAGGGTGGTCAAAAGATGGTTTTGCCCTGGAAAGACGATGCATCCAAACCAGATGATGGCTAAGGAGCACATGCCCGCTGAGGGTATTTGCCAGTCGCACAACCTGTACCAAATCTGCAACGTCCTCAATCGTCTCCAGGCTTTGCATGTCCGAGGCGAGCTGGCTATGGAGCCGCTCTACTTCCTCCTTTGGCGTATGAGTGTCATCTTCGAACGGGGACCGCATACGGGAGCCAAATCTTTCTGCAGGTCTATCGTTGAAGAGGGCCATCACTCTCTCGATCCGGTTATGCGACAAGCCATTATCCGCGGCGCTCAGCATACCAACGACTACAACTTTTATGGCCGCAAGCTGGACAGAATTGGAGGCCAACCGCTTTCCAGAACATCTCACGTACTGCTATCGACTTCGACAGGGGAACAACACGGAGCTGGAACCACTTCTGAGCCATCAACCGCAACTCCCTCAGGGCTTCGTGGGCCTCGGCTGACATCTGCATCAGAAACATATGCACCGCAAACCCCAGACACGCCGTCGCCTCGTTCGCGCCGGACTCCGACCAAGAAGCGGGTTCAGACAACTGCCCCGGAGCAAGGCCGACGCAAAAGACGAAAGTCTTCGACAACTATTCGTCAACGCACACCCGAAGACGAAGTGATCGTCGTGGACGACTTCACTCCTCCCAAGAAGATGCGACGACTCGAGTTCATAATCCCTTTGCGCCCCAGATCTTCTGTCGAAACGTTGGACTTTACCGAGAATCCTGCAGTGGCTTCTTCCTCGACGAGGGCAGCAGTTTCCACGACCGCGAAGACCTCAAGCACATCCGAAGCATCTGAGAGAACTTCTCACCGACAAGGTCAGACGAGAACAGATCTCGTCAGAATGAGTCGGCCTACCGATGTCGAGAAGCATATCGGAGCAGCGCAGGACGTGATTATGGAGGCAATGACAGAAGGCGAGGAAATGCAGAATCAGTGGCTACACATTGGTACGAGTGGCTCACAGCATATGTCGCTTGACAACTTGAACAGCGACGGCCATCCACGGGATTTGGCTGAAGGGGAGCATCATACTGGAAACCAAGAGCCTGACATGTCAAGTGACAGCAGAGAAGACGAAGACATGAGCTCGTCGGGAGTTACGGAGGAGGAGGAAGGGCTTCTTCCCAGGGATGAGGAGGTGCAGTTCTTAGCAGAGCATCCGAGAATGGATGTTGGCCCCAGTCCCTTCCCGCGAACGGGTAAAAAAGTTTCGCATGGGTTCATCTTCCCGTGGCTCCCTTGCACTGAGCGTGAGGCCATGGTAACGTACTACTGAGCGATGAGGAGGACGGATTTGGCTTGCTACGGAGGAGGGGAATCAAGGACGATTGGAAACAGTCTGGGTTGGCTTTTGCTCACTTGCTCAAAGATCTCAGTTTACCGTATTGAGATTATTCATGGTACGAATAGCTGGCACTCATAGACATATAGCCGTCCACTGTCGATGTACGTTTATCTCACAAATCATGCCACTCTCATGCTCCCTTCTCATAAGCTCGGTAATGTCACCGCTCTCATTTGGTCATCTCGACATCACGTGACGTGCAATCGCTTAATGTTCCGGTTACGGTAGGCACCTCTTGGCCAGTGCTCTCTGGAGTGGATTCCCGTAGCTTACCCGACAGCCGCAACATCAAACCATCAAATCAGGCCATCGACAAATCCCTCTCTCTTCACCCAAACCCGACGTCACGAACCTCTCCTCTCCAACCCACCCAATTGCCGCCGCCATGTTCTTGCAACGCTCCGCCATCGCCGTCGCCCGCCGGGCCGCCGTCGCTCCCCTCGCCAGACGCACTTTCGCGACCTCCATGATCCGCCGTACGATCCCTCAATTGATTCCTGCCTGACTCTTGCGTCCCTCCCCCAAATCCCGAAAAAAATACACGCGAGCCCGCCATCCCGATATCACCCATACACTTCGCTGACCCGCGCGATCACACAGGCGATGCTGCTCCCAGCTCCAGCTCTACCCCCGCCAAGAACTACAAGACCCTCTCCGGTAAGGTCTCCGTCAATTGACTCGAAATTTCGTGAATTGGACCTATCCTCGGCCGGCGCGGTGTCCCTGAATGCTGCCATTGCTTCAGGCAGCCCACCCAAAAAACCAACGACACCTCCTGAACCGCGTCGAACGATGGACGGCCATGCAAACGAATTTACGAGCAAACTATTTCGAGAGAAGCAAGGAAACTAACGTCAATTGCTATGGTACAGAGGTCAAGACCGAGGACGACCTGCTCGGTCCCGGTGCCAAGCCCGGCGACATCCCCACCGATCTCGAGCAGTCCACCGGTCTCGAGCGTCTCGAGATTCTCGGAAAGATGGAGGGCGTCGACGTCTTCGACATGCGCCCCCTCGATGCCTCCCGCAAGGGTATGCGACCCATCAACCCCTCGGTATCGAACACCAAAGTCTAATGCAACCCCAGGAACCATGGAGAACCCCATCCCCGTCCGCTCTGCCGGTGACGAGCAGTACCTCGGCTGCACCGGCGCCCCCGCCGACTCTCACGTCACCCTCTGGCTGACCGTACGTCGCCCTCCCGCTGCGGCGTGTCCGATTCCGTTCCGAGCGCCTTGTGCTGACACCTCGACAGATCTCCCGCGACCGCCCCATCGAGCGCTGCCCCGAGTGCGGCTCCGTCTACAAGATGGAGTACGTCGGCCCTACCGAGGACGCCCACCACCACGGCCACGACCACCACCACGGCTACGAGGAGCCCAAGACCTTTGCCGACTTCGTCAAGCCCGAGTACCGATACCAATAAATGCACCATCTTGATGGCGAGCCTGTAGTAGCAAGGGGATCGGGGGCGAGGCGGCATCGGGTTGCTCTGGAGTGAGCACGGCAGATGTGTAGATTACCTTAGTTGTGGCTGTATAGAACCTTTTTCTCCCGACGTGATGTCCTCCGTCCGCTCCCGCGTACCCCGCTCGGACGGCTTTCCGCTTTATACTTTGTAGACGCAAGCAGCTCTGACAGCTTCAACGGTCAACTCTGCCCTGCGGACTGTAATGATGCTTGTTTGTGGTGTAGGCGAAGATGTTCACTCGGGCTCGTCAAAGCTCAACTTGATCTTTTTGCCCTTCTTCTTGCCGGCCTTCTTTTTAGACCCCTCATCCTTGGCCTCGTCTTTCGCGTCCGTCTTGCCCTCTTCCTTGGCATCGTCAACACCCTCGCCAATGACCTTGCCAGCCTTTCTCTTCTTGCTAGCCCCGATGCCAGCAACCTTGTCTGCCTCCCTCTTCTCCTCCTTGGTGACGTCTTCCTTGTCGGCCTCGTCCTTCTTCAGCTGGTCCTCGTCGACGCCCCCGTCCTTGTCCACCCTCACATCGACAACATTGCCTTCGTCGTCGACCACCAGCGGCGCGTCCTCGGCCTCCTCGCTCTCGGAGCGCTTCTTGCCCGCCCTCCGCCGCTTCGAGAGAATTGGATCGGGATCCGCGGCGTTGCCTGCTGCTTGCGCGTGCAGGGCTCGCAGGAACGGTGGGATCTTGGTGTCGTAGGAGAGGTTCTTGGAGGTGATCTTGTCTGACATGGCGGCAATGGTCGAGGCGCGGCACCGCGCGAGATATTGTGCGTCTTTTGGTCGCTGTTGTTAAAGCTGAATCCTGTCATGAAGCATCCCGATTGGGCGGGAGACAGGAGAGACAGGTGAAGAGAGGCTTGCGAGGGTCGTATACGGGGTGGTGTTGTAATTGATGGTTGCGCAGAGGTTGCAGCAGACGGGCAACGACCGTTGTTGACTTTGGGCTGCCCATGCGCTCGCTCGCTTGTACGGAGTGGTGGGGGGCGGCTCCTTAGTGGTTCAACCAGAACCATTAGCGGATGTTTGTTTGCCGATTAGCGGCCTCTCCACCGTCGTAGTGCATCCGCCTCGCTAAATTCACAGTGGACACGCGCTACGGTTCCGGCCGTTAGCCCTGGGCCGACCCATCAAGGTCCCGACGTCGAACTCGACAGCACCTTATCTTTTCTTCTCTCATCACGGTGCAGAAACGTCACGAGTCACAGCAAAGCTACACACGATTTCGAAAGATTGATTGATGAATCTGATTCAGAACCTCACATCCAGAGGTAGCTACTCTAAAGACCAATGACCAAGGTATCTATACAGGCAAGAACAGAGTGTAAATGCAAGCAAGCGGTGTCATGTCTGATCCAGCCATGCCATGTGCCCGCCCCCGAACGCCTGTGGCCCATCTCGCCATGCAACGCCGTGCCCTTTTCCCCCCCAAATGAAAGAAGTAACGAATCCCTTTTAAAGACAAGAAAAGCGACAGACGAGACCTCGCAGCGAGCTTAAGCGATCTGCTGGACGTACTGGGGACCGAAGTCCTCACCAGTGCCAATGACCGACTTGGAAAGCGTAGCACCGGCGGTGAGCTTGCCATCCTCGCCACGGGCGAAGGCGACGATGCCGTCCTGGCCATCCTGGTTGCCGACGTAGAGGATGCTCTCGTCCTTGGACAGGCTCATCATGCGGGGCTTGGTACCTCCAGAGGAGACGGAGTCGACGAACTCGAGCTCGATGCCGCCGGCGGTGGCCTTGCAGGGGGAGCCATCGGCCGCGGCGTTCTGCTTGACCTTGAAGTGGGCGATGGAGTCGGTCTCGTTGCCCGTGACGCGGTTGGAGACGTAGACGTTCTTGCTGTCGCTGGAGATGGCGATCTCGCCCGCGGCAGCGGTGCTAGCGTTGGCAGGAGGGAAGGCGGCGCCAAAGGTGCTCAGCTCCTGGGTGTGGGCGAAACCGACGCCGGTGCCGTTGTAGGAGACCTGGAAGACCTCGACCTGGTTGGTCAACTCGCAGAGAACCATGTAGTGGGTTGCCTGCTCGGCCTTGGTGGGGTACCAGGAGCCGTGACGGGGGCCGCAGCCGGCGGGGACACTGTTGCTGTTGGAGATGACGAAGGCATCGTCCTTGGAGTCAATGATCAGGACGCGGTCGCTACCGAGGTCGTTGACGGCGAAGAAGCGACCGGAGGGGTCGAGAATGGCCTGGTGGGCACGGTTCTGATCCTGGCGCTGCGTGTTGGGACCGACGGGATCAGTAGAGTTGAGCTGCTTGAGGAGCTTCAGATCGGTGCCCGAAGAGATGTCCCAGATGTCGATGGAGCCCTGGCCGCTGTTGGATGGTTAGCTTGTGTGTTTGGTAAAGGACGTGTTTTGCTAAGGTAATTGGACTTACTAGGAGGCGCCGACGAGGCGCTTCTGGTCAGCAGTGAAGGCAAGGGAGACGACACCTCTGGAGCCAGTGTTGTTGGTGACAAACTGCAGCTTGTCCGAGGCGGCGTCATACTGCAGAGTGTGTCAGCTTGTCAACGGTCTTGGGAGATGAGATGGCAGGAGCCCAATTAAAAAGAATTACGTACGGTGAACAGACGAAGGTCGGCACTGTTCTCATCGACAGCGTAGATGAGGTTAGGCTCCTTGAAAGCCATCCAGCTGGCAACGCCAGTGTCAGTGTAGTTGTCGACGACCTTGAACTCCTTGCCGTCGTAGCTGACAATGGAGATGCGATTGGAACTGCCAACCAGGAGCTTCGCAGCAGTTCCAGCAGATGAGTTGGTCTGTCGGCCAATGACAGCGGCAGAGGCGGTGGCCGCTGAGGCGAGGACAGCTGAGAAGCGCATCTTGTGTTTTAATATGAATGGTGGAAGTGATGGGTTTATTTTGAAACGATCGTGAGATTGTGTGAAAGTGAGGGTGTGTGAGAGAGTGTGTGTGTGTGTGTGAGTGTGTGAGTGTGTGAGTGTGTGAGTGACGCGTGTGGTGGAAGTAAGAGGGAGGAAGAAGGAAAATTCCTCTAGGCAGCACGCGAAAGATCAGAACAACAAGGCTACCTGCCAGCTGAAAGAGAGGGTAGTGGGTGGAATGCTGAGATGGAGGAAAGAGCAGTAGAGGCTCAAGTCGGGTCGTTCCTTCTTGGTTGTTGTACTGAGAGAACAGAAGCGGCAAAAAGGGACGTTTCGTTTCCTCGAAAGCTGAAATTAAGTTTGGTCGAAAGCTGCGAATAACATACAAGATGAGACCTCATCCGAATTTCCAGGGAAGAAGGAGGCAGGGCCAACCTTATAAGTCGATCAAACACACAAGCTTAGGTAGGTAGGTTGGGCAGGCTGCACATGGTTGTTGACTCTGTGTCTCTCTAATTCATCCTATCCCATGCATTCCCTCCCAGTTGGATCCCAGCTTTCAACACCACACACCCCCAAGCCACGGGCTGAGTGAAGGGATGGGATGACAAGCCCACTGCACTGGGACACACAGAGGACAGGCGGGCAAGCGGTCGGCCACATAGCAAACCTGGTTTCTTCACAAAGCCCCCTTTCTGCTGTCAGACTCAGACACCCCGCACACATCCAAAGATCCTTTGCCTTACAGGGCTTTCTTGTTCAAGAGATGCAAAAGACGCAATGGCAAGGGAGGCCGGGGTGGCCATGGGGGGAGCCCAGCCAAGGTGGAAATGATTGGCGAGCAAGACGCGGCAGAGACGCTCTTGTTGGTTCAGGGGGGGGGCATGTCACACGGCTTACTCGCCAGCCATGCAGAAGAAGGCAGGCCCTCTAAAAGAAAGGAGTCCTACATACATCAAATGACGAGCTGGTAGGCGCTTGTCGACCTGACCTTCAGACCTTGGCGAGAAAGGCTCTGACAATCATTTTTTGCTCATGCTGCATGCGTTCCTCAAACCCGCTTGACGCAGGTAAGCATCGGCGTCAGAGTCGGATTCCAGTCTGGTCCAGTCGAGTCCGAGGGGCTCTGTCTGGTTTGGCGGATCCTGTCATCTGCGCAGCAAGCCACTCCTCGCTACCCAGCTTGGCAGACAGCAGCGACCACAGAAGACATGTAAAATTCGCTATCCGTAATAATTCCAGCAAACATCTCACTTTCTGTTCTCCTGTCCAAAAGACTGAGAAAAAGCCCCAGCTGTGTGCCACCCAATACTCTTGAAACAGGGGCATCGAACATGCCAAAGTGCTGCTTAAGGGGTTAGGTTACCAAACAGCACATCTCGGGCTCTTTCAGGCGCTGCGGTTGGGTGGGCCTGGTGTGCTGGTGGGAAGGGCTGAGCTGGGCCGCGTTTCGAAACATGTTCACCCGCCTGCGCAGCCGTTGACGGATTGGTTGAGAAACTTCCCGACAGCTGACCTCGCGCAGGCCTGCAGAGGCGGCGGTAGCCCCCAAGAGATGCTCCGGGACGACGTTTATTCTCCTGGTACGGATAGCCTTGCGTAAAGTCCCGGGCTGTTCTATTGTTCGCCCTCTACTTCGGTTTCGGTGGCCCAACTTACAGGAAACAGCTTAATTTGAAGAGCCGAAATGCAAACTGCCCTGTTCAACAACCAGAGGCCGGCACTCGGGTACGTATCTTCGGTGACCTTGACACGAAAAGTGGGTTCTCCAACCGCTGCATGGGGTATGTATCTTCTTCTACTGCCGTCAACACCTGCATCTATTCCCGGCGTGGCTGCGCTTCGACAACCAACCAAACACCAGCAACAGCACTACCACCACCATTGCAGACAACGACCGGACGAAGAGCCTCCCTCCCGCTCCGCCGCCATCCACCAGAGCGACGCGGTCTGCACACACTCGCTGTCGAGATGGGTAGCCAAGCTCAGCACTAACGCTGCAGGGGAAAGCAGGGTGGCCCGAAGATCCAACTAAGTCACCGACATGAGGGAACCGCTCGTGGCACGCTGATTCCGTTCTTCAAATGAGACTTGTGTTACGGCGCCGATTGGGCCGAATTGATCGAGCTCTTTGGGACGGGAGAAACGCTTGGTCAACGCTCAAAGCTTTATTGGTGCCGTTCAAGGCCTTTTCTAGAAATCTACCGAGCCGCGACTCAACCTTAAGGAAAACACCACCACTCACTCACATCAAGCCAAGCATCACCAGGTAATGCTGACAGCCTTCCCCACAACCTCCATGCCCCCATCCCGCAAGATATTCTCAAAAATCCATCTCCCGACATCCTCCCTCGAAATGCCATAACCCACAGCCTTGCTCTCCACCCCCGTCCTCGGATCCTCGACTCCAACCCGGACTGTCCTCCCCGGCGCCGCCCCGTCACTCAGAAACGCAGGCCGCACCGCCGTCCACGCCTCCCCGGACCCCGCCAACCGCTCCTCCATCACCTTCTTGTCCGCGTGCGGCGCGCGGAGCAGGACGTGATACATCGGCACCTGTAGCACCCGCACGTCCCTCGCGAACCCGCTGATCCCCGTCGTCGAGACCACCGCCATCCGCGGCTTCCCGACGACCCCGCGCCCGCGCAACGTCTCGAGCGCCCTCAGCACCGCCGCGATGCCGTTCTTGCATACGTCCGGGTCCTCGACGGTCATCTTGCACACGTCCAGCGGGCTGCCGATGCTGAACGACACGGCGTCGACGAGCGCGTGCGGGTTGGTCGGGCTGACCAGGCACGCCGCGACGTCGTCCACGTTGTGCGCGTTGCCCTGCTTGACGACGAGGTTCGGGTGAGACGACGCCGGGAGGAGGGAGGTCAGCTTGGACGGGTTGCGGCAGAGGGCGATGCAGATGTAGCCCTCGGCGAGTGAATGTTTGAGGGCCGCGAGACCGCACCCGCCGGATGCGCCGAAGAAGGCGACGGTCTTGATGCCGGACATGTTTGGTATGGGTAGATGATGACGATGCTGGATGTAGTGTCTCGCAGAGTGCAAGTGATGTGACGTGTGTGAAGCGGGATATGAAGTTGGTTGTTGGTTTCTTTGACTGAACTTGCCTGGTCTCTCAGTATATCCGACACCTTCATAATCAACGACTTCCATCGTCTTTATACATCACCGTCCGAGTCCAGACGGGCAGATTCGCAGCACTACCGTCATCCCAGTACCTTGGAACATGCCGTCTTCAAATCAGCCTTACGCCGCATCATCCACATCTCGCTCCCCTCGCGAGAATGAACCAACACCCAAAAATCAACCGCGAGATGAACTCCAGGCGCAAAGTCGGCAAGGTGTTCGTCCGTAAGTGGACTTCCCACTGGGTTGATCGACGGAGCGCACACATCCCTGTCGCTGCTCAGAGGATCCGCCTCGTCTGGGTGTTCCCTGTCCCTCCAGATGCCTTCTTGCAGGTGTTAGTGCAAGATAATGTCGCCCCACCACAAACGTGCAATCCTTAACATTTCCAAACGTCCATGCCGGCCCAAGTTCCCTCCGACGGCCAAATACATGTGGCTTAGCTCGCGTCTTCGCTCCAAACCGCCAGAAGCTCGATTCGCGAGGCATCTGCTGTGTAGCTTCAACCCCACGATATGCTGCAGACTAATGCACCGATTGGTCCGACACCATGGTCCCTTAAGGAAATGTCACTATCAACTTTCAATCATAAATCGCTTCACTTGGCAAAGACCTCGTTGCATAGACTTCAATTGTGTCATCCTTTTATATACCTGATAAATCAAGTCACAAGGGCCGCCTACATATGCAATGCGGCTGCTGAACTCCTATAAGGAACGGACGGCAAGCGCCATTACCACAAAATGCCCAAGAAAACCACCAGAAATGCTCTCATTACATACAAGGAGCTGAAGCGAAACCCCGGTGAGTGCATCACGTTATCCATTAAACATTTTAAATCAAAAACCAAGTATGCTACCACGCAATGCCTTAAACCCAGAAAGCTGCTGCCATGGCGATGAGCGCAGCGAAGGCGCTGGCGCCAGCCATGGACTCGTGGCGCACACCGAGAGATGTGCCGCTTCCGCTGCCGCTGCTGCCACTGTTGCAGTCCTGCGAGAAGCCACTGCTGCCGCAAGAAGAGCCGGATCCGCTGGAGCCGGAATCACCCGATGATCCAGAACCAGATCCAGAGTCGGAGCTGGAGCCACCACTGCTCTGGCCGGGGTCGGCTCCCGGGCCGCTGTTGCTGCCTCCGGGAATCGTGGCTGCCGATGCTGAGGGTTGGGCCGCACTGCCTGAGGCCGATGAAGCGCCGGCATTCATGTCAAGACCGGTGCCGAGGAAGCTCTTCAGGATCGTGTCCTTGTCGCTGTCGACGACTGTATCGTTGGTAGCCTTGATGTTGTTGTAGTAGTAGCTCTTCTTGCTGTTTGTTCCCGGGGAGCTCTTGGCGTTGTAGCAGTTGATCTCAACGTCCTTGACCTGGGCGTAGTAGTAACCGGCGTTCTTGATGTCCTCACCATTCCAGTCAATGGCACCACCGGCCCATTCGATGGTGCCCTTGGCGTTGGTGTCGGCACCACCGGGCCAGATGGAAAGCTGCACACGGGCAGGCGTCTGGGGGTAGTCCCACTGCTGGGCGGTGGCGTTCCAGGTGTCGGAGCGCTTCTTGGTTCTGCCAACCTGGCCGTCGACGAGCCACTGAATCTCATCGGGAGTCCAGTGGATCTCGTACGTGTGCCAGTTGTTGAAAGTGTTGGACAGGGAGATGTTGCCGGATTGATCGTCTGCAAGAGTCAGTTAAGGTTGAAAGCTTAAGGCACGGGCCAGACGTACACTTGGGGATACCCTGGAAGTAGTAGTTGGTTTGGGACATCTCGAGATCCGCACCAACCCACTCGTAATCGATTTCGTCCTTTACGTCACCGTACAAGATGAAGGCAGTCACGACACCGGGGCCGCGGGAGGTCTTGATGGTGGCCTTGACACTGCCGTACCACAGGTAGGTGGTGGAGGCGAGGACGGTGCCGACACTCTTGGCGGGCATGGTCAGGAGCACGGCGCCATTGCGCAGGGCAGGCTCGCCCTGAGCGACCCAGTCGGCCTTGCTCGGGTCGCCGAGGTACTTGCTAATATCGACAATGCCGTCCATGGAGTTCATCGACATCTTCTTGTCCTGGCATACGGGGGCGGGCACGCAGGCATCGAGAGAGAAGGACATTCGCGGGTCGCAGCCGCCGAGGCAGTAGGCACCGGTACCGCACTGGCCATATTCTGGAGGAGTCAGATCAAGTTCTCGATGTTTCGGGCAGAGGACATCTTACGGGAACAGCAAGGCGCGGATTCGGGGCACTTCTGGGTCAAGGAGCAGCTGGGAGGGGTCTGGGCGAGGACGTTTGATGCGCCGAGGAGGGCGAGGCCCAATGGAAGAACCGACAACATGTTGTGTGGTGTTTGTTGGATACAATTAAGGTATTAAGATGGGTGAGAACGAATGACTTGGGAACTCGGTGGCTCGCCAAAAAAGAGAGCGACGTCGGTTTGGGTGTCGAAGGACCCAAGAGATGTCGCCGTCCGCGGGGCGCGGAGATTGTTCGTCAGGTTCGTCAGTTGTTTGTGTTTACTGGCTGCCGCACTGCCGGTTGGAATTCGGCTGTCTGATGACGGTGACACCACGGGGACTCGCGTGTCGGTCGAGCGTGCGTCGTCTTCCGGGCTGCGGGTGGGATATCTGGGATGCCGGTTTAAATGAATTGACTTTCGAGTCCTTGTTGGGACGAATGGAACAAGAGAGTTCGGATAGGGTTCGTCCTGTGGCGGAAAGGCAAAACGGTTTCGCGGGAGACGGGATGCTTTGTTCGAAGGAGAAACAATGCGAACAATGGCCGTGTGGTGAAGTGCGCGATACAACCTAACGAAAGGGTGCAAAATGCGGATTAAGCGATAGTAGTAAAGCGATACAGCGAAAAGGCGTCAGGCTGCTGGTCGGGAACGAGTGACGACCGTGTAGACGACGATGGAGAGGGATGGAGGGATAGGGATGGAGAAGTGAGAGAGGAGGGTGAGGGAAAAGGGTCGAAGCCAAGACGGCGAGAATTAATTGGGGGAAGGGATGGGGGTAGCGGGAGGAGTGGGAATGCGCGGGAAGTCAAACCAGGCGAAAGTTAGTACGTTAAGGTACCTCGCACTTTAACCTACTTCTACCTTCTACCTTACAGAGGACTGGCTCTTACGGTTAACACGGATTGACTACCAACTGCCTCCTCTGGTTCGTTGGTCGCCTTGCTCGCTACCTTAGTGCTCGTGTCCGGGCAGCCCAACTCAGGGCCAACAGCCTGCCTGGCGCTGGCGCTGGGCTAAGGTAGCATCTCTCCCTCCAATTCCGTCGGGACTAGTCATCCATTTCACTGAGGTGATGTGCGTGTGTTTTGATCGCCTCAGGGCAGTCAGTAAGAGTAAGGTGCGGATACCGTAGAGAGCATTGTCTGAGGCGAGGTGCCCCTTTCCAGTTGCCTCCCTCCCCCTCCAATGGACGTCTCCAGGCCTCCAGGGCAGTCTCAGTTCCCTCTCTCCCTTCAGTAGAAACTAGAATCTTCCCACTAATTATTGTGCTGGCAGAAGACTCCTGCTCACACATCAGCCGGGCACCTGACCGTCCATCCATTATCCATTCTTCTTCAGTCCAGCGCAAATGGAACCAATCGCTTTCCCCTCTGCAACGCCCTCCCTTGCCCGAACCGGCCAAGCGTGCTTGATTTAGGTAGCAGAGCCGGACCACCCTGCCCCTGCTGGCTGTGTTTTCCCTGCCTGCTTCCTCCGCCCTTGCGCCCCTCGCAGAATCAATGGAATCCACCAGAGAAAAATACGGGGAAACCAAGGGATGCACCAAGAAACTGGAGAATCCGCCAGTCCCCTCGTAATGAACTCGTCCGCTGATCTCTGCTTCTGATTGGCCACCCGTGGGTTTTCCCCCTCTGATCACCCCAAGATCATGTTTTTCTCTTCTTCTCCTTCTCGGGTATTCCATCCACACTCCTCTTTTGGGATTAGCCCCCCAGGGCCCGTCCACTTTTGCAATTCGATTGAGTCTTTGCCTGCAGCGATTTTCGCCCCCGTGCCGTCCTTCCCCCGTCCTGTCGTGTGTGCTCTGTGCGGCGGCGCACGGGGCATGTCACTTTTGACGTTGACTGACGATGATGTCTGCAAAAGCACCTGTCCCATGGCTGTCAATACCTTCGGACGATATGCAGGCTTGATTGACAGGTGCTGTGCCATGCTGCTGCAAAGTGCTTGGACGACGGGGGCTGAAATGAACCCGACGGCTGTACGCATCAGGATCGAATCCTCCACCACTAGCGTCGGAGCTCTCAACGCCAAACAATTTCAGAATTGAAGCCCTTAATGTACACTGAACTAGCACACAAAGATGACGATTGGCAAGCACCAACTCACCAGCCAACCAACCAGCTACCTGCCGCTACTCGAGTCTCCAACCCGGTCCATTGCCCCCGGCGCCGGTGGCCGTTAACCACAAATCTCATGCAAACAAACTGTTACACAAGGCCATCCAATCACCTCGCCCTCCCCCGCGTCGAATCGCACATGCACCACCGTTGGAGGGCGGCACTTGAATCTACACTGCTTACTGCGGTGGACTGTTTGACTACATGCGACAGCTGCGAGATCGTGCGTCCCCCGTTGGCTGCGGCCAGTTGCGCCGCCGAGGCTTGCTGCGTGTAACAGGCAGATATCTGCTGTGTTCCGTCGACGAGACAAGGCGGACGTAAGGCGTTCTTGAGTTCAAGAATGAGAGGGGCTTGTAGACAAAGATATGACGACAGTGATTGTTTTATGGCTTAGAACTGGCATTCTGCTTGGGTTGGGAGGTCTATGAATTGTTTACGTTGAATATGTGTGACTTGATATGGAGCAAGGGTTGAGAACGCTTATGGCAAATAAACCACATCACCCAACTTGCTTGACACCATACATAGAATCTTAAAACCGTTGATTCAATGACACTGGGAGTATGTCGTAGGGGGAAAGAAAACCAAGTTAACGGACACGGAGAGTGTTGGTGTTGAGACAGTGATAAATAGTCCAAGTTAAGTTTGCCAGATTTAATATTGCATATAAAATAACAAAAATATTGAAATCGACAACGCCCTTCGTATAGTTCGCAGGAACAACAGGATACACATACCTCTGAAGTCAGAAAATCACTAATATAAGACAGCAATAGAAAAATGAATAAGAGAGGCAACGGACATGGTAGGCATGTACAGGAGCAGAGGCTGCTGTAGTAGCCACGACCACGAGTATGATCACTTGTCGACAATACGAAAAAGACACTCGGATGAATTCTCAACAGAATACCACACGACGTCCTAATGAATAAAATCGCACTAGTTATTGTCTCCCCTATGTCGACATTTCATTCAGCGCCTTACCTCGTGGGTTGGCCTCACACGACTAAGACCATAAGTCAGGAAGGACACGAGAAGACAGAGTCACAAATACGACAGATACTCTTATCAGGATGAAGGAGTCCACACCACACCAGCAGTATCTGCACCGGGAAGTGAGTCACATTCAATTGTCAGAATTTTAACAAAAAACCAGGCATTGCTGCATTCATCCTATCGACACCGCACCATGTCTACCACCGCTCCAATTTGAGTACATGTCACATTACAATGCCCCCGTTCACACCATCCCATGATCACACACAATCCCTTAACCGCACAACTCGTCATATTGCTGACGTCTGTCCAGAACCAATAACAACACTTCTTCACACTAAGGGTATAGACTCATCATGAATCGAAACAATCTCACCATCTCGTCCCGGCTAATCGTCCTTGACACCACCGGCCGTAGAACACCAAGAGCGTGTCTAGGCATCCATCATCACCCGTGCTGATAACACTTGCCCGAGCCCATTACATCATCCGGTCTTCTGGATAATCATGGATCAAAGAACTTGCTTTTACGCAAGCCCCATACCGTCATCCCATGCCTAGTCGAAAGGCCCTACGCAAACATGTACGCGGACCACTCAACGGCAAACGTTCACCCGCCATCTCTCAACTTCCTTTTCGTGTTGCGCTATGAATACTCAAAGCACACTGTAATAGCCTAGTGGCCCGACCAGGCCATCCACCATACTTGCGAACTCGGACTCTCAAATGAAAAGCCATCCCACTTCCTCTCCCAGAGCCAAAGGGGACCCGGGCCAGTCCATTCATGCCACCAAGCAATCCGGACGCACACACAAAGTCGAAAGAAAATTAAAATTCCAACTTCGAAAGAAAAAGTAGGATAATAGTAAAAAAAAAGGTGCAAAGGGGGAATCGTCTTTTTCTGAGTCCGGGTCGTTGAGATCGTCAGAACGAGAAAGAAACACAATTGGTATACGCCCAAGGCATGGAGACACTCCCAGCGCCGTTTCGCAGTATTGCCCGTTTCCCGAGTATCCTCAGAGCCGCCGATGAGCTGAGTTCCTCTACCGAGCATTCGGTTTGGCGTAGAGGTCTACGAATCATTTAGTACCGATGCGGCTGCGGCCGTGCCGACGCGATGTTGAGAGAGGGCATACCGGGGAAGTGCTCCTTGGCGTATTGTTCGCAGGCCTTGGCAGGCTTGCCGACCTTCTGCCCGATGACCTTCCACTTGTTGTTCTCGTACTCCTTGATGGCATTGAGGAGTGCTTGGCTCTGCATTTTGTCAGTAACATACTCAACGTAGATTCAGGGTGGCAACAAACCTCGTCCTCTGCGAACTCGGCGTAGTGCATATCCTTGTACCAGTGCTTCTTCACACTACCCTCAGTGCGGGTGGGGAAGGTCTGCATCATGTTAGCTGAGTTCAACATATACAAATGAGGCGCGGATGATGACGAACCTTGGCAATTTCCGCCCAGGAGCTACCAGCATCTCTCATCTGCTTGAGACGGAGCTCCTCAGCTGGGGTCCAGGGGGTATTTGTCCGGCTCTTCTTAGCCGGGGGAGGAGCAGGAGCGGCATTGGCGTCTTCCGTGGGCTGGGCCTGAGGCTGAGGAGCGGCAGCAGGCGGGGCCGCGGGAGGAGGGATGGGAGTAGTGGTAGGTGGCGGCTGGGCAGCTGGCATCGGGGGCGCACTCGTGACGACGGGAGGAGCAACCGGCGCCGGAGCGGGGGCCGGGCGCTTACGGTTCCTGTTCGTCTGAGGCGGGGCCACTTGAGGAGGCGGCTGGTGCTGAGCCTGCTGCTGAGCATGTTGCTGCTGATGTTGCTGAGCATGCTGCTGGGGGTGCTGCTGGGGGTGGTGTTGAGGCTGGGCCGGAGCTTGAGAAGGCGGCTGCGGGATTTGCATCGGAGGCTGCACCGGGGTGGGGTGCTGCTGATGAGGAGCCGGGCTCTGCTGAGGCGGCGGGGCGTACTGGAATTGGGGATGCTGATCCC